GAATCCTACACCCTTCCCCAGCCAAGCATACATTAAATGCAGACATAGAGTGCCAGAGCATAGGTCAGGTTAAGCAATAACTTCACAGGACAAGTCATACAACATGGCAGTAGCTGAATCACACAGAGTAACTAAAGCACAGTGAAAAAACGTATTCTTTTATCTAGATTTGCTCTCTGTTATGTTCCTAGATGAGATGCAGATAACAGTATAGACCAGGGGTCTTCAAACTTGGCCCTTTTTTGACGCTGGCTGAGGAATTCTGGGAGTTGAAGTCCACAAGTCATAAAAGGCCAAGTTTGAAGACCCCTGGTGTAGGCATACAAATTTTCCCCAAATCCAAATAGGGGCAGATCTTTAGTAACAGTCAAAGGCAAACTTTTTGCTTTACTCTGGAATGGTAAAGCAAACACCTGAAAGGTAAGTGGTAAACACCTGAAAAACAAGATACAAACATTTTGTTAATGTCTCTAAATGCAAACGTTTCCTCACCTTACTCATTCTGCCTTGCATATTTCTAAGGGAAAATACTCTACCACCAGTCCAACATTTGTACAAATGTTTCTAAGTGTATGAAACAGTCTATCTATACTGGCTAGTTCAAACACAGAATATGCATGCTGAAGAAAGAATACTTTTCCTGAGTTTTAGTACTGAAAGATATAGGCTAGCAATATTGTACCTTACTGACTTTAAAAAGAACAAAAGTTTGCATGCAAAAGTGAGAATAATTCAACATAGCATTCCCATCATGGCATGTGTTTTCAAAAAAAATAATAAAGCTGCAAATTGATGAAATAGTATCTATTGTGAATGAGCTTTATGTATCATCCAAACTAGGACTGTGGTCATAAAACTGTAGTTAGAATAAATAGCAAATAACACAGATAAAGCCAGGAAACCATTCATGCAAAAAAATGGCAAGCCACAGACTTTTTAAGCTATTCTTACATATCTTCATACCGGCCATCCAGATTTCACTCTAGTACAGTGATGGCAAACCTTTTAGAGACCGAGTGCCCAAACTGCAACTATTCTGACTCTGAGTTTAAAACGCCTTCTTTAAATCAAGTCAGATAGATAACTCAATAGAAATGGTTTTATAAGAAAAAATATATTTCAATCAGAAAGATCACTTGCATACATACTGTGTTGCTACTTCTGGAAATTACATCTTTTGTCCATTCCTACAGGTAAATGTATGATGCTCTCTTCCATACCATCTTTATAACGGCGAAGGCTCATCGGGTGACATCTGATGGTCCATGCTTCTTTCAGACAAAGACATTCCAATCCGGCTTGTGTCCAGGAAGTCTCCTAAAGCCCTTTAGAAACTCCTCCCACTGACCCATTAACAAATCAGTATTTAACTCAATAACTGCCAGATATTCTAACATACATGGTCTCTAGTTAGGGTTACATAGAGCTATATGAGGTTACATAGAGCTATATGGTTCAGGATAGCAACCCAAAACCCACTTATGCATCATTGGGTACCGGGTGGGTGTGGCCCATTGGCTGCGTGTGGCCCATTGGCTGGGCATGGCTGCGGTGGTAACGGTAAACTGGGTGGGACTAAAAAGTTCAATCAATCAATTCCAACTTTGCAAGATTTTTTTTCCCGCGAGAAGTTGAAATTGACTGATTGATTGAAACTTTTTTTTTTTTTGCACACGGCGATGGAGGCCTAAAGCAAAAAGGTTTTATAAAACCCAGCTGAAGGCCTAGGACTGGGGCGATGGTGCGTGTGCCCACAGAGAGGGCTCTGAGTGCCACCTGTGGCACCCGTGCCATAGGTTCGCCACCACTGCTCTAGTATGTTATATCATCCCATCCTGTATGATTTAGTGGCCCATGTAACCTTGGAAAAACTATGGATCAGTTATCCCAGATAAACCTGTCATATGAACATGGCCATGATATGTGAAGATACTGAGCATTAAGAAAAATTTAATAGTTGAACTTAAAATGGTTGAATTTAAAAATGTATATATTTCACCTCTTTTAGGAGTTTTATTTGTCTCACTCTCCATTTGATGTACTTTTTAAAACTGCTCTGCTCTTTTACCGTGTTTTACATTTGTTATTACTACTTCCATTCTGATCCAAATGGTTCATTTGCCATGCAGAGAAAAAGCATGAAACCCACACAACCAAGCCTTTTGTACAACGTTGTATTCCTAAATAGCCAGAATTCAGGTGCTTTTAATTTGCTTTTTCCCCAATTTTTTCCTACTTCCATTTAAACAATCTAAATATTTTATTTTGTATTTTTGGATATCAATTTTGTTTTTCCAAATTGTAAAGTTTGGGGGGGGGTTGGCTAGAGTTGGTTATAGTATGGATAAAAATACTTTAATTAGTTGAATTAGTTCTCCAAGTTGTGGCATTCCACTTCATTGCTACTTAACAGCAAATTATTTTTGTCTCGGTGTTCCAAGAGTTAGGAACAATGTGTTTCCTTTCCTGAAGTTTCCATACAGTAGGTCCACAAAATAGTAATAATCATGCAACAATATCCTTATCTTGCCTTTCCTTTTACAAACTCTTTCAATGCAAATGTCTTACTCAAAGTGTATTTCTTAATCCAGGAAAACATACAACATCCTGATTGGTTCAATCAGTAACCCCGTCCACAGTTACCATTTATAGAAACTTTACAGTTTCCTACATTTCCTAACTGCTGCTGCATTAGACATCACAACTTTTATGTAATGCACCAGACTTTCAAATCACCTGGTATATTTCTGTCTCTGAATTGTCCAATGCTAACACACATTCTGAGCAGGTTTGATGTAGTGGTTAAGGCATCAGGCTAGAAACCAGGAGACCATGAATTATAGTCCTGCTTTAGGCACAATGTCCACCTTGGTCTAGCTAGCCTTTCTCTCAGCCCTAGGAAGGAGACAATGGCAAACTACTGTTGAAAACTTGCCAAGAAAACTGGAGGGTTTTCTAAGAACTTTTCACAAAGCCTTTACCCTTCATTGATTTTAATATGAGGACATAAAATAGTTCCCTCCCACTTCATTGAGACTTACTGCTTCGTTCTGGATCGACAAAATGAAAGGTTTGAATTTCTTTGCTTCCAACAGGATTCAAGAAAAGATTCCACTCTCAACTACTGAAGCTTTCTAAATGACTCTACCTTGTTTAGAAAAGATTTTGAAGAATAAGTATGATATAAACTATCTGCTCTTATTTTAAAAAAAGTGCAGTATATTAATCTAAAACTAGACAAACATGAGATCAATGTGTTTTAACCAGCTAAGGTCTGAATCTACAAATATGAATGTTGTTCATAAGCAATTTAAACTACCACTATAATAATAACCAATCACCAGTATCTATCACCAATCACCTCACACACCTATAAAAACATCATGCCACTCAGAGATTCTATCTCATTAAGTTTTAATAGTCAGATTCTTGGCAACAGCTATGTTTTCTTTAAAAGGGCTTCTGCTGAAAGCTGTGGAACATCCACCAGTTAAATCTTTTTAAGTTTAATGCCAACAGCACATTTATTCAGAAGTCCACCCCACTGACTTCAATTTGGTTCACTCCAGATGACTTTCAATGAAGTCATATCCTATGTGTGACCAGCCACCTCCTTGTAACATGGTGTTTGCCTCACACCTATTTTCCTAATTCCACTCTCAGTTATGGCTTCCAGGGCACAGACAACATCCTGAAATAAATCTCCCAGCAATGCTTTTGACATAAACTTCATTTCCCAGGCATCAATTACCAGGGCTTTAAAAAGAAAAAAAAATTACAAGAAAAAAAACCATTATTGTACCATACATGGGGGGGAGGGATCAGAAGGATGAGAAAAGTGGTAGCTTTCTTGTGTCTGTTGGTCCCAATTTTAGAGAAGTAAAATACACAAAAGATCTGTGACTCATCTCATTGCATTAAAAAAAAAATACTAATAGGCATCTCTTATTGACCCAAAGGAACAAGTTTACTATATAACTTTCTCAAAGATTTGCTGAATATTTTCAGCCTGCTTGGAATTTATAATATAGAAGTGGCAAATAGCCCATCTTAACTTCTACCTGAAACTCATTAAACTTTACACTCAACCATTGCAAGATGAATGAGAAAATGGACATCCAAGGCATCTTTGGGTTCAAAAGAGACCATTGGAAAAAGTGAAATATTAATCTTAAACGTTTCTTATGCCAAAGCCAAAGGAAAGGATTTCCTTCCTCTCTGACCACCTTCAGAACCCACCAAGTTCTAAAATGTTTGGTGGGAGTTGAGCACAGGATATATAAACCTACAACTGTGCTTCGTTCAATCAACTACAATTAAGCAAACCCTGGTTGAAACCAGTCTGAGAACCTAGCCTCTCATCCATTCATTTTCCCATAATAAAAAGAAGGAAAAGAAGAAACTAAGGAGCTATCCACAAACCTCCGGGAGGGAAACTGGGAATTCCCGGTTCAACAGCGAGGGAAAAACCTGCGAGTTTCCCTACCCGACACTCAAGGAAGTAACCAGGAAGTACCACTCGGATCCCAAGACTTCTTTTTACCACCCACTGAATAGCTGGGGAAGGCTTTGTATAACAGCCACGCCTGATGAATTTCTTCCTTTGGGTTACTGAATAGTTAAAAGTACCTTTCTCAGTAGAGCGTGGTGGGGAGGGGGGGGTTAGTAGGAAATATTGGGTCCAAAGAACGATTTCCGACGGGGGAAACCAAACAAGAGAGTCAACTTTTCGCCTGCTCCCGAGTAAACCCGGGCAGGATCAGAGCGGGACCCAAAGAAGCGGGTTCCTCAGTAACGTGGGGAAAGAAAGGGGGCGAGAATGGCGTCGGTCTCAGGTCCAGGACTCCTCCTTCCCTTTCTCCCCCGGGCCAGTCCCCCACGACGTCCGCAAGCAAAAAGAACCGACAAATCGGAGAAAGAACGCGCCGCCGTTTGACCCGAGAAAAGCCTCAGGAAAGTCAGGCTCTCCCCTCGCCCCGCGCGGGAAATGAGACACTCACGCAGTTCAGCAAAGAGCAGACCCCCAGGCAGGCTCCCATGTCGCCGGCTACGCCTCCGGAGCCCCCAGCCTTGCAAACTCTCTGCTCGATCAGGCGCAGTTCCCGAAAGCAATCAACTCCGCGGCCAGGCGGCGCTCCAACTGAGACCTGCCGAAACCACTCGGCACTTTTCGGCTGCCTTCGCCTCCCTCTTTCGCTTTTCCAGGCAGCTTGCCAGACTCTCTGGCCACGCCCCCCTCGCTTAGCTGGCGGGGTGGGGCGACTGGGCGGGAGCCTGGCACACCTGGCTTCCAGGGGCGGGCGCCTAATTAAGGCAGTGGGGTCACGTGACGTGCTTAAGCGGTTGCAAGGAAGGCGGGGCGCGGTCTAAGGATTCGGCTGCTTGGGATGCTTTTAATGAGTAGCCCAGGGGTCTTCAAACTTGGCCTTTTTATGACTTGTGGACTTCAACTCCCAGAATTCTTCATCCAGCATGCCTGACTGAGGAATTCTGGGAGTTGAAGTCCACAAGTCATAAAAGGGCCAAGTTTGAAGACCCCTGGTATAGCCTGTCAGTCGGAGAGATGTGGGAGGCGTGACGTCACTTGACTCGACTTCCTTGTATGTTTTGACCCCATTTTTTAAATTTACATCTTGACTCTCTTCTTTCTATAATCTATCCTGTCTAATCATTAGAACCATAAATCAAAAGTTTATTTTTTTATTTTTACACAAAACATTCATAAAAGGCTTCCAGTCACCAATAAATTCTCTGATCAAAGAAGTCAATTTATTCATTTCAGTAAAATCTGTCAACTTCACCAACCATCCCTTCAGAGTGGATAGTCTCAAATCTTTTCATCTCTGTACATACAGTAATCTCACTGCTGTGATCATATACTGAATTAATCTCCTGTTGCTTTTTTTTCTAACTGTTTATCCATTAATCCTAAAAGGAAAAGTTCTATATATAATTTGTTGGGCAAGTCCTGATGCACACAGATTGCTCAACCCAGTTGGCAAAACAAAGGGGCTCAGTTTACATACTGCACAGAGCCAAAACCAAACAAACCCCATAATAATGTAGCATAACAGCTACATCATTTATGGTTCAAAGACATAATGTAGCTGGGTTTTGTACAGTTCACAAACCAAGCCATTGTCTGGATTTGCAGAGCAAGGATTATTCTTAGCACATTGTGTGAATTTAATTATAAGCTGTTTGCTATTAAACCCAACAAAGAAGTATGCAAAATCAGTTGCAGTCAGAATGAGCAACTGAACACTCAATCAGAAATAGCAAAATTGATATAACAAGAAGAAATGTCAGGATGGGGGGAAGGAGGGGGGAGGGAGCAAGCAAAGATTTCATGAGCATGTGAATTGCTGAAACTGAAATCAGACTACAGTAGAAATAAGACTATAATAGAACTGGTGGGGGGGCTGATCAACCTCAAATGCAAGTTACTTTCTCTCTCTCTTGCCAACTGCCCTCAAGATCTGTTCCACAACAACCTAACTAAGTGAATTCTGCTTAGCTGCTGGGACTATATTTAGAGTCCTATGAAAGGAGTTAGTAAATTGCCTGGAGCCAGCACAATATCTAAAGAGGATGTCAATATAACAGCAGTCAGGGACAAAAAATAACCAAGAGCTTTAAGTAAATCCTTTGGAATGAACTGGGTTTTACCCTGAAAAATTGCCACCAAGACTAGAAGAGTGGGCAGTGGGCTGACTTCTCTGAAATGAGGGTGAAAAGACATATGTGGATGGATCAGGGAGAAGGAGAAGTAGTCCTCATCTTAGGATCATTCATTTAACAACCATTCAAAGTTGTAACAGTGCTGAAAAAATTATTTACGGCTGGCCTCAGGCTTATAACCATCACAGTGTCCCTGAGATCACATGATTGTGACTTGGATGCTTGGCAACTGGTATGTATTTATAATGATTGCAGTGTCCCAGGGTCCTGTGATCACCATTTGTGATATTCCCAGGGGTTTTCCAACAAGCAAACTCAAAGGGAGAAACCAAATTTGCTTCATTACTATGTGATTTGCTTACCAACTGTGACAAAAAGTCATAAAACTGGTCGTGATTCACTTAACAACTGCATTGCTTAGTGACAGCAGTTCCAGTCCCATCTGTAGTGATAAGCTGAGGACTTCCCTGTATCTTGCAGAATGCACAGCTAATGGGAAAAAACAGATTTGGACCAATCTAGATTTAGTAAGGGAAAGAACTGCTGACTTTAAGAAAATCACTTTTTAATCTGTCACTTTTTCATAAACCCTACTAGGAGTTTTTAAAATATTGCTGGAGGAGAGTCATCTAAGACTATAGTAGCCAAAAATCATGAGTCTGGTAGCTCCTTTTCAGATTAACAAATTCCTTAAAAGTTACTCTCCCAAAAGCTTATGCCTCTTAATAAAATGTATTAGTCTGAAAAGGTGCTATCAGGCTCCTTTTGATTTTAGGATTTTAAAAAAGATTTTAAAACAGGTTTAATATTTAATGCTTGCATTTTGGAAATAATAACAGACACAGGATAGCCTTTCTCACTGACAACACTATCTATAGCTAGTGTGAATTCATGCATAAAAATACCCAGAAAGGTCAAGAAGAAAAAAGTAGCATCAACATTTTACCAAACACTACCAGGATATTAAGAAGCCAATAGCTGAAAAGTGAGATAACCTTCAATATTGCTCAATTCTTGTGCATTGATTCTTTTGTGTCTTGAATATGGTATACCTAAGACTTATTCAGAGGTATCTGGGTCATTGATTCTTAAACTTTCATCCAGATGTTTCTGCTGGCTGCAAATTTTGCATATTACAGTTTCTCCCCCTCCCCTCCCAAATCTGGAAAGGACCACACCTGGGAAACTTTGTTAGATTTGCACATATAGCTTGGCTATAGTTGAGTTTAACCTTCTTTTGTTGAATAAACTATTGCAATATTGATAAACCACACTTTACAAATCACAAGGGTGAGTTCACACAGGGTGCTAAGCCAAAACCAAGAAACCATATGGCAATATAGCATCATGTGTGAACTGAGAAATGCAGATATGTTTGGGATTTCAGTTGCCATCAACCACAGCTAAAAGGGCCAAAGGCAAAGAATTGTGGGAAGCGGTGGTCCAGAAAATCTTGAGACAGCCTGTTCTTCTTCTAAAGAAAAAGTTTTCCTTCAGGACCTTGGACAGTCCCATCAAACCAGTAACTAGCTTCACCAAGTGGCCAATTTAATTATATCTTCAGGGTCTGTTCCTTTCATGCAATGTACATATTTTAAAGGTAACTCTCTTTAAGAAGGTAGGAAATGCTACTTGACTGAATGCTACTTGACTGACTGATTACATTGCCCGGTTTCATTTAGGTCCAGGAAGTCATGGTGTGTTATAGACAAGGAGCCCTTTGGTTGCAGGGACTTCCTGCTGGCTCTAGCCCAGAGCCTTGGATGTGGAGATCTCTAGTCTGAGGGCCCATGTCTAGTGCAACTAAAATTTCTTGTTGGTATCTATGATGCCTCTGTCCTTCTAAATCAGGATTTTTCTCCCCTGGAAGCCTAAGTCATGGCAAGTCCCATTTTATTTGTTTGATATTCAACCAAGGGTGCACAGTGCACAGTGGCACACATTATGCTTTTTTCTCCTATTTTTCCTTATGGCAGCCCATAAGAGAGAGCATCTGGCCTAGAGTTGCTCTTGAGTTTCTATGATTCAGGATGGACTTGACCCTGGGCCTCCTTTGCTCCAGTTCACTATACCTCATTGTCTCTCAAAGGTGATGCATCTTCTGAAAAGTCTGAGGAAGACTATCTTGTCTGTCAAAGGCCATGCACACTCCGCAGAACAACCCTCTGGGCAAGCTGTAAGAGCTAGAAACAAATATTACAACTGTGAGTTCCAACTGAAGTCAAGGTTTCCTGGGTCCAAGTCTGATGAAGACAATCCATTTTTCAGTTAGTGAGTGTGGATGAAAATGTCTACTAATTATTGGCACTTGTTTGGCTTGAAGACTTTTGATGCAAGATTTTGATATATGTGATTAAACACAATCAATTGACTGTGTAGTGGCTTAGTTGGAACATATCTGGAAAGCCATATTGTGGCTCTTTAGGCTTGACTAAGTATGTTCTGTAAATCCATCTGCTGTGGATTAGATAAGAAACCAGTGTTTTTTAAAAAATTATGTCTTAATGCAATAAACAACCCAGCCTTAACATATTGTGCAAACCCAGGCATTCCATACAGTGTCAAGAACAGCTTTCCATTTCCTGTCTCTTTAAATGTACTTTTGCTTCACTCCTGAAGACCAGATTACCTAGAACAGTGTTTCTCAACCTTGACAATTTTAAGGCATGTGGACTTCAACTCCCAGAATTCCACAGCCAGCATTGCTGGCTGTGGAATTCTGGGAGTTGAAGTCCACATGCCTTAAAATTGTCAAGGTTGAGAAACACTGACCTAGAAGGTGTAAGAATCAAACCCTTCCCTTAAACAGAACTATCAGGAATGCCATTTTATTGAATATGCTGCTTGGGATTCCTTCACTTTACAATCAAAACCGCTTTGTAAAAAAAAAAAAAGTGGCTTTTTTCTTCGATTGGGTTGTCACCCATTCCTTTATTCTGAAGAATGAAGTTAGGTTAGCAGCCACTCTATATGTCATTTTGATTCAGCATCCATTTCTCTAATTTAAGAGCCCAGTCCTACTGCCTCTCTTGGAATCCATTAACTTCAACACCAATCCATGTTCTTCTGGTTATGTGTTTTCCTTTGTTTAAAGCTTAGCAGCCCCAAGGACAGTTCTCAAAACCTTGAATGCAAAGATTCAACCTTGGAACCTGGAAAGCTCACTGGTATCCTTCCAGGAAATTGCCCTTCTCCCTTAAGAAATATTTGTTTCTGCTCCACCCTAGAGCAATTTTGGAGTAGCCATGGAGCCATCCCATAGCTGCTGTGGGGTGCCTATGTGAAAAGAACTGGGATGTGCAAAAATAAATAATCAATAACCTGTTACTCAGAAATGACAGTAGGGGAAAAGCAGGGTGTGGGAATGCTGAGGAAAGAAGAGAACTAAACACAGCCTTGCTCGGCAGGGAGGTGAATCTAACAACTCTCCCCCCACCCCAGCAATTGAAAACAACCATGTGTAGCAGAGGCAGGCTCCCAGAGTTGTGCCAACTGAGAGGCAGGGCAGGAGGAAGACGAGAGAGGAGAAAAGGGGAAGATTTATGCAAGGCTGATGGGAAACAAGGAATTCAGCTTTCTTTCTTTGAATTAGGAGAGATGGAAAAGGCAGAGGGGACTATGCTAGCTTACCTGGCCAAGGAGAGCCACAAAATGTATGCAAGTCTCCCTCCTGCACCCCCTTCGAAGCAATTGGTAGATCCGGCAGGCGTTCCAGGCAAGCAACTCACAATCTGCTGATACCCAAAGCATCTTGCAAATTGAGGAAGAGCGATGCTCCAGGAGACCATGGAGACTGATTAGAGACAGTGGGTGCACAGGCTTCGAGGCAGATTCCATGACTGATTGTTCTTCTCTTGCTCCCAGACCTTGCCTGAGAGCCCTCCTTGGAGACCAGTCCTTCCATTTTTCCACAACTCCCTTGGTATGTATGTCACCTTGCTGCTTCTCTCATTGGAGTAGAAGGAGGAGGGGTTGCACTTTCTGTATAGGAAGGAAGGAAGGAAGGGTGGACCGTGGTAGGTTAGGGTACAGCTAACTGTCAACATTATTCAGCTGGTTGGCTGGATGCAGGGAGGAAGCAATCTGTTAATGAGCCAGTTGGTTAGGATACTAGCCTCCTTAAGGATAGAAGAACAAAAGAAGAAAGAAAGAAAGAAAGAAAGAAAGAAAGAAAGAAAGAAAGAAAGAAAGAAAGAAAGAAAGAAAGAAAGAATAGGAAGGGCTCCCCTGGAAGAGCATGGGTGTGTAACACAAGGTGAGGAAACTTTCCACAACGCAGCATTTCACTGCCCAGCTGCTTTCATCTCTCTGGGTGCATTAGGAGTTTTAATGAGATTCTCTGTAAAGATTCCAAGCAAGCATGTTGCAATTCCCAAAGGGAAGCAGGGAAGGGCTGCAAAGCTCTTCATGGATGAGAGGGAGAGGTTGAAAGGTTTGGGTGTGGTGTGGAGGTTGGATTAGCAATGCTCATCTGTTGCTGCTACAGAAGGGTTCTTGTGACCCCTTAAAGGCTAACCATTTCCAGTGCCATGAGGATGGTTTAAGAGCATCAGATGGGCAAGGCTGGGGTTTGCTTGGCAGAGAATTGCAGATATCCTGGATGAGTTGATGTGGAAAATGTGTCCCTGGATACTTTGGTTTCATTTCAGTGGGCTTTTATGAAATTGAGTGTCTGATATTAACCAAGGGTTGGAAAGTCAGAGCATATTGAGAAAGAGAGACCATTGTGCAAGTCCCCAAAATTAGGCAGAATTCCATCTACCAAGCTAACGATATTTTGCAACAATATGTAAAAAGATAATGCAGCCAACCAACAAAAACTTCTCATTTAAATCCCATTTATTTCATGTCATACAATATGCAGGGTGGATTTACACATTGGAATAAGCCCATTCATTCTTGGCTTGGTGTGTTGTGTGATCTCAACCACAGTCTCTTGTTCTTTTACTAACAGCCAGTCTCTTAGAGGCTCAAATGAATCCAACCTTTCATACTATAAATGTGCATGTCAGAAATCCACCTTCCACCCACTCTTGCCCTATTTAAGCATTTCCAATTTCTTCCTCTCACTTTTCTGCTCTGGATCTGGAGGGAAGCTTAGAATAGTGCTGGCATATTTTAGTCTCACCTTCTGCAAAGGAATTTGCTCATTCCCCTGCTCCTAAGCTTTCTGAAATTGAAGCCCACCAATTGAATTGCATAATCCAAATATGTGACCATGCCACCTGGGTCATAGGTAATAGGTTTCATCTCTGGCAGATTAGTTTTTTAATATGCAGGCAGGCTATGGTTTTTTTCTTTTCTTTTTTTATGTCTGTTTGCATGAACTGTAAGCATTTTGCTGCCCCCAAGGACCTTATGTCAATATACAACTTTAAAACCAATCAGTTGCAGGCTGTTCAGACAGCAGAATCAAACAATAGCTAATAAAAATGAAATATCCTGCTTTGTTCTTAGAAATTTGACAAGCATGCCAGATGATGTTGCCTTTCATTTGTGCCCTATTGTATTTCCCATAACTTCTCCCTTTTTTATTTTTGTTATCCTTATCAGAAAAGTCGAATTAAAAAAAGAAAGATGGATCAGCAGCCCAACCATTTTGATTGCTGGCACTAAGGGCTACCAGTAGGAAAATGCCAGCAATTTTTTCACTCCTCCTAAGCCTAGACCAAAATGAGCTAAAATTACCTCTCCAAATTAATTTTCCTTCAAGGTTGATGTCCACAACCAGGTTGCTGACATAGAAAAGGGTGTGATCTACCAGCTTTGACTGCAAGGGCCTATGCAGCATAAGAAGGTAGCGGTATCTAATTGTCTTTGGCTTTTCTAGAAAATTAAATGGACTGAACCTGGTTAATATTTGAAGGAGAGACCACTAGAAATCCCTCAAATTGTAGATTACATTGGAAAGTTGGGGGGAAATATCCTGGAAGAAGAGAGAGACAAACCACTTCCATAACGTTGCTAGGAATACTACACGATGTGCCCAGTAAATCACCAATTGAGTCAAGCTCAATTTGAAGACATTTTTTCCCTATATGGAAAGAAGTGACTTCTCACTCATCTTACAAAGGATGTGCAGTTTTATAAAGAAGAATTGGCATGTTGAATAGGGCTCTGAAAGAACTTGTAAATGCAAAAGCTACTTGTCTCAACTGCCTGCTGATGTAGGAAATCAGGTGGATACACCATCTGGGATAACGAGGGATCACCTGGCCCCTAAGCTTTAAAGAATGAAAACCCACAAAACAGTGACTGAATTGACAGATTGTATGAAGGCTTATGTGACTCTAAGGTTTTTTTTAAAATCTTTGGCTTAGCTTGGGTTAAGCCAGTTATAGTGGCTGGGGGCCATAGATTATACTTTAATGGGGGTTCTTTTGGGGGGGAGGCTGTGCCTTCAAGTCAGTTTTTAACTCCTGGTGATTGCCTGGACTAGGGGTCTTCAAACTTGGCCCTTTTATGACTTGTGGACTTCAATTCCCAGAATTCCTCAGCCAGGCACACTGGCTGAGGAATTCTGGGAGTTGAAGTCCACAAGTCATAAAAAGGCCAAGTTGGAAGACCCCTGGCCTGGACTAATCCCTGCAGTTTCCTTGGCAAAGTTTTTCAGAAGTTGCTTACCATTGCCTCTTTCTTAGGGCTGATAGGGAGTGACTGGTTTAAGGCCACCCAATTGGCTTTGTATATAAGGTGGGATTAGAACTGACAGTCTCCTGGTTTCTAGTCTGGTGCCTTCACTGCACACGAACTGGCTCTCTATATAAAACCATATATATATATACTGTACTGAAATAGTCCCACCTTTGGGGTGGTAGAATCTGATGGGCCAAGCCATGACGTAGCACGGCCAATTTGCAACGTAAGTTTGAGTAGAGTCAGACCTGCGTTTCTCTTTCCAAAAATGTTATTGACTGTCTGGACTAGTCCCTGCGGTGTTCTTGGCAAGATTTTTCAGAAATTATTTGCCACTGTCTCCTTCCTCCTTCTTAGGGCTGAGAGAAAGTGACTGGCTCAAGGTCATCCATCTGGCTTCCTATCTAAGGTAGAATTAGAACTCATGGTCTCCTAGTTTGGTGTCTTAACCATTCCAAACTGGCTTTCATATTTTAGTATTACATGCAAATCACATCCCTATGGCTTTCTCAGCAAAACAAGGTTAAAAACAAACTATTGCTTAATATAAAATGTAATGCCAGTCAGTCAGCCAGTCAGCCAGTCTCCTACTTATATCCTGGAAATCTCTTCCTTTGTTTGGTCTATATATCCTGTTTCTTGCTATTTGATTCTTGAAGACATACAGTATAGGGCTTGTGATTAATCAACATTTCACAACATTTCACCAGTGTAAGTTCTTTCCACTGACACCATGTCATGTAAAAGATCTATCAATACATATTCATCTCAGCTGACTTGTTCACTCACTGTAAAGGATGTAGAGAAAAAATCAGTTCAGAAAAAGCCAAAAAGGATGATCTGAAGTATGAGGAGGAAACCCTATGGCCTGGAAGAGAGGGGAAAACCTGACCATATTCTTTTTCTTCTGACATCTGACCAGCTGTCACCTAGAAGTAGGTAGTGATTGTCATTTATTCTTTTCACTTTCCCCAGTAACTGGCAATCAAATGGGTGATGGAATAACAATAATGAAGAAGAAGAAGAAGAAGAAGAAGAAGAAGAAGAAGAAGAAGAAGAAGAAGAAGAAGAAGAAGAAGAAGAAGAAGAAGAAGAAGAAGAAGAAGAAGAAGAAGAAGAAGAAGAAGGGGACCTTGGAGGTCATCTAGTCCAGAGGTCCCCAACCCCTGGGCCGTGGACCGGTACTGGGCCATGGCATGCCAGAAACCAGGCCGCACAAATAAGTGAAGCCCCATCCATGGGATGCAGGCAGCACATGAAACCACACCCCCTCCAGTCCGTGAAAAAAACCATCTCCCCACGGAACTGGTTTCTGGTGTCTAAAAGGTTGGGGGCCTCTGATTTAGTCCTACCCCCTGCTCAGACAGGAAACCCTATACCATTTCAGACAAATGGCTATCCAGTCTCTTCTTAAAAACTTCCAGTGTTGGAGCTTTCACCACTTCTGGAGGCAGTTTGTTCCACTGGTTAATTGTTCTGTCAGGAAGTTTCTCCTTAGTTCTAGGTTGCTTGTCTCCTTGATTAGTTTCCATCTGTTGCTTCTTGTCCTGCCTTCAGGTGCTTTGGAAAATAGCTTGACTCCCTCTTCTTTGTGGCAACCTCTGAGATACTCGAACACATCTATCATGTCCCCCCTCGTCCTTCTCTTCATTAAAGTAGACATACCCAATTCCAGCAACAGTTCCTTATATGTTTTAGCCTCCAGGGCCGCAATTAAGGAAAGAGGAACAGGTAGGCTTCATTCATGAAGAGAATAAACAAGTCCATCTTATATTTTCTATGGTGAATTCTTGATGCCCACTGAGCTTGATTATATTTTTGTAGACATTTTATTACCCAACTAGGTAACATCATCACCTTGCATCTTTACCTAGTTGGTTAAAGAAACATTGAAAGCAAACAACTCAAGCTCAGAGACCACCAAGAACTTCATAATTTACTCCTGAGCTACAAATATTCACTTCGATTTCCCAGAGTGCTCAGATTGTCCAGTGAAGCATCACTCATGGAGCATTTTCTGAACTGGTAACTTCTATAGGTGCAAGGATCTGAAAGAAACTCCAGCAGAAGCATGCCCTGTTCAAACATGAGGACTTAAAGAGTTACTTGGATAAACCAAAATGCTGGTGTGGACTTTGGCTGGAATCTCAAATAGTTTTTAAAAGATTTAAAAAGATTTCTTAAAAAATAACTATACACTGGGAAAGTGGGTATTAATTTTTTAACTGGACACTGGGGTGGAAAATCTCAGAAAAGGTACCAGTGATCTATGGCCTTTGCCCTCCTGTGGCATAGTCACTTTTCATGCAGATGTTAACAGGTGCACTTCCTTCCTCAAGAGAAAAGGGGAAACCTTCCTTAGAACATGTTTGCAGACTACAGTTACTAGGAGGGCTTCAACAGCATGTCAAAAGCAGCTGGCAGAGTGATTCTTCAAGGTTTTCCCTTCAGCTGACTACCTCAATTATCTCATCTGGGAATAGCAATAAGGATGCCAGCATGCATCTACGCAGATGTGCGCACATACCAAGAGACACACTTAATAGGATTGTATCACAGAAAGCTCCCATTTTCTGGGTCTATTTATGCCATCATCTAGATCAGGAGTAGGCAACCTTGACTCTTTTATGACCCGTGGACTTCAATTCCCAGAATTGAAGTCCACGAGTCATAAAAGAGCCAAGGTTGCCTCCCCCCCCCATCAATGTCCCCCAACCTGGCCCACTCTGTGATGTGTGGATTTCAACTCCCAGAATCCCCCAACCAGCATTGCCATTATTAAGAATTCTAGGAATTGAAGCCACACCTCAAAGTTCTCTAGGTTGGATAACCTGATCTACATAAAGGTTGAGAAACTCTTGGGTCTCCCAATGTTATTGATTCCTAGTTCCACCACAACAGGTGGGTTCAAAGACAGGGTGTTTTTCACTTCCATTTGGGGATGTTGCTGCCATTAGAAGAAAAGAATTAGGTTTGATCATAGATGAATAGGTTCCAGAATAGAAAGGTCTTTTTTATTTTCATTAAGATCCAGAATTAGCCAGAACTAAGAGCAAGAAAAAACACAGCTGACTACAGGAAGTCAAGTATACATTATTGGAAGCCATAGTTTGCTTATAAAGTTTTACTACAGTGATGGAGAAGTCAGGTCCAATCCAAATAAAATAGCCAGCCTCATTTATAAAATTTATTCAGTTCCTATCAACCCACTTCACAAGTCATTTGTTTTGATTAAATAAAACAAATCATCAATCCATATCAGAATGTTAATTCAATCTGATCCAATTGCTTTTCCAATAAATGTCCCTGAAGAAAGGCTTTCCACTGTCTTGGCTTTTGAAATAAATTAAAATTGGCTATCATTTCAGGGGAAGTATGACTGAAGTGGAGCCTGTGCTGGATTTTGCATCATCAGGGCGCACTGGCCGAAGAAACGCCTTGCCGGATATCCTGGGTTCACCGGCTGGCGTCAGCCCCACCGATTTGCCCCTGAAACTGGCAGAAATGTCTATTAACTCAGGTAGACACCCTCCTTATTTGCTTCATTTGCTGCATCGCTGGAGCTCTTTGCCAATGGAGTAGTTCCTTGTTTCTTCATGTCCTCTGTCCTGGACTGGGAGGCTTTGCTCATTGCTCCTTCACACTTTGGTCACTTCCTGTTTGGATAACTGCAATGCACTCTACATGGGGCTGCCCCCTTGTAACCCGGATGTTCCAACTGGTGCAAAATGCAATGACACGCACAGTGTTGGCTTCTGTAGTTTGTGTGCAGTGCTCCCCAGTTCCAAAAGCGGCATTGAATTCCAGTTGCTGTTGGTGCAGGGGAGCATCCTCATAAAAGAGTCTTCATCTCATTAACAGCATGTTGCCGAGGCAGTGGAGCAGACCAAAGTGTTCTGGCTTGAAAGTAATTATTTATCTGAGAGAAGAATACCTCCCAAACAGAGTTATAGATCACATGGAAGAGTCAATTCTGGACATCAGTGGCTTGCTGGGCTCTAGCTGGTCTGCTGCAAGACCACTCTCTCCCTTCTGTGGCTGGCAATGGGCCTTAGTGGCTATTTGTGCTTTGGCTGCTGGACATCTACCCAGCTGTAACTTATTTGTGGCTGTGAGATTTGGCAAAAAGATGATTAATTTTATGAAAGACTGAATATGGTCTTCTGTTGGTATGGCTTCCCTTTTGTAAGGAGAAAGCAGTGGCTGATTTGCTCTATCCCATCCATGCTTAGGACTAACAAACTGGGATCTATGGTCAAGGGCTTGGTGGCAGAGTGCTTTTGGGAGAACTTCAGCAATTTGTCAACAAATCACAAGGCATGGCTTAGCACAATGTGTGGATCTCATCCATTGTGTTATTTTCTAATCACCTATTGACAAATGCTTTCTTTATATTTCTCTGCTTTTCTTTCCCCAGACAGATCACAAGAAATACAGTCACCAGCCACAGAGGTGCCTCCACCAGCACCCCAAAGTCCAGAGTTGAAAGATACCTCTTAACCCATCCTCTTGGAAGTCAACTGAAGAAGGAGAAACTTCCTAACATCAAAAGAAGTTTGCCTGGAGTTTGCTGGGGTTACCCGGCGAAACTTGTCTTAACATCCCATGGCATGAAGGAGAAACACAGGAGGATGGAAAAAATAAGCAACCACACATTTTATAAAGACTGGGGTGGGACTTTAGGGACTTTTTCTTCAGAGGGCACTTGAAGAACTGCAAGACAGAATGGAAGGGGTTTTTAGAGATTTAAGTTTGTTTCCACAGCTCTGATGCAGAGAGCAACCATGAAGTCTCATCAAGTTGTTTTGGGGTCATCTAGTTCAGGATTGTCTTGGTTGAAAGCTGCAGGATCCCAGAGTTTCAGCCGGGGCCTTGTTGAAGCTCATCTGAAGATGCCCAGAATGTGACATGGGATCAGCTATGTGAAAAACAAAAGCTGCTCCACTGAACTTCATCCTTAACTGTGCATCTGCCATAGATTTGTGGGTCCAAAATGTTATTCAAAGATCCATGAGCTGTTTTTTTTTAGCAATGTGTATTTTTCACAGTATGCATCTGTCATTGTGATGTTTGGGAGCAAAGCCTTCCTTTTTTGGAGATTATGTGTTGGTTTCACCACCAGGTCTATGGTCCTTTCTACAAAACATTTTAGGTGAGAAGTCAGTGTCCCAGTTCCTTCTACCCTCATTGAATTCCTCTCAAGGGGGATGTTCTTTCCAAAATAATCTACCTGTTTTGGAAATTGCTCTGGCTTGTGGAATAAAACAAAGAACATCTCACATAAAGGAAATCAATATGGCTGTTATTACCAAAGGTGGCTGGTCATAGCCTTACCTATGAGATTCTCAGGTCATGAAAAATTGGACAGTTTATACTCGTTTTAGAGATCCTTTAATTCTCACTGGAAGTAGAATATTGGCTTTCATATTTTGGATAAAGTGCCATTGAAATGGAATTCCAATTGGTACTTCTTGATGAATGAAATTTTTAGTTAACAGATGGAGAAAAAAGATTTTCCATCTAGCTTTTTGTGGCCTTGTTCTAAGTTTCTATTTTTAGAAATCAGTAGAGAAGGACACATGTGGATAAAATAGCTTTTGCTAAAATCCAAACAGCATTGGAAGACCTGAAAGGCCAGGTTAGGGACAGACCAACATGGAAGAAATCTATTTCATGTGGTCGCTAGGAATCAAAAATCACTTGAAGGCACTTAATGAAGCCCAAATCCCTGCTATTTATTTTTATATTTATTTATTGAGGCTTCTAGTCCCAAGTTACTGATTGGCTTCATCTTCAATATGCAGAAACAGGATTAAAAGTGTTCTGTAATATCCCAAACAAATTAATAACAGATATCCCTTCTCCAAAAAACTTGCACTATTAAAAGATCTGAAGAAGCCAGTTGGGGACAGATCATAAAAGAGAAAATCTGTCTAAAGTTACCAGTCCTTGCACTTACAACTGTCACCGCATTCACACGTCATATGATCAAAATTTGGGTGCTTTGGCAACCAGAAATTCTGGTCTGAATTGTGATTATAAATTGAGGACCACCTGTATGTGGTTACTAAGAGTTGATGCCAACTTGATGGCACATAAGCAATCAATCAATCGTCCCAGAAGGATCCCAAATATAAGGGAAAAAGTATCATTAGTAAACAATTGAATTGATAAGACAGAGGGTGCAAAGCCTTTTCAGCTGTTGAAGCCAAATGAAGCACAGAGATTGTATAGTCCCAAGGATTTTTTTTAATAGCTGCTGTCTTTAAAGATGGGATTTATAATAATCACATTAAGACAGGATATATTTAATATATTCCATTCATAATAGAAAATAAAATCAGGAGAAAACAATCCTGAAAAGTCAACTGTGTTCAAAAATACAACTTAACTTTTGGGGGAGGAGGGGAAATGCATATTTGCCCATTTTTGTTTTGGAGTGAAAATCCATGTCTGGTGAGGATCTGTTTGTGCAAAACTCATTAAATTTCCACTGTTCAGACACCATCTGCTTTTCCTGTCTCAGTTCTGGTATGAGTCTTTCTTTTCATTGTTGGAAGCACCTTTATTGCGAAGTCAGGGTGAAGGGATGCTTGGCTCAATCTAAGGTATTTTCTTCAGCAACCGTTCCTTAATCTGGCACTGTTCAGATTACATTGGATTTTTTTTAAAAAAACTCCAAGAATCCCAGCTGGGGATGTCAGGTTGGAAAAGCAGAAGAGTAATGGCCAACTCTTCGGCCTGAGCATGTCCAAAATTTAAAAAATGCTTTAGTTGAATCTGCTGATGTGTCATCAATCCAATTTGATCCAGTGGTGAAGGCACCAAATAGAGAGGGGCCATGAGTTCAAGTCCTGCCTTTGCCACAAAAGCCAGATGGGTGACTTTGAGCCACTCTCTTTCAGATCAATTCACCTCACATGGTTGTTGTAGGGAAAATAGGAGGAGAAAGGTGTGCTGGAAAGAATAGAATAGTAGAAGTAGTGTATACCTTTTTTTAATGAAAATTATCAGCACTTTTGATCAGTGATGTCATCAAAGTAAACAAACCCACGTGCTGATTATGTCAGCAGGTCATGGCCCTAAATGGATGACGTGCTCAGCCCCCACCCTCTGGATGTGATGTGTTGGCCTAATCCCATCAAGATTGGCAGTCAATCATCTGGGTACATGATTAGGTTAACCCTAGACTAATTCTATGGACATTCAAAACTAAAAAAAGCTAAGTAAAATGAATAATTAGCAGAGGCCTGTGTTTTTGGGAAACAAGCCCTACTTTGGGGAACTGTGAAATAAAAAATAAAAAAGGCTTTTTTCTGAATTAATAACACCTAGACAGCAAACACTTTAAGACACCCCGATTTTATATTCCTGTGGTAATCATCGTGGTCACAAAGCTTCTGCAGATTTTTCTGATCTAGATTATAACAGGGATTATGAGCTATCCCAGAGACCACGCTATCTACCCTGTGAGTTAAAGAGCTGCAATTTGTGTAAAGACTGGTTTGCTTGCAACTGCGGACATGATTTGTGGGGCACAGGTGGGTCAACGTATTCTGATTCTGATAGTGGTGATGAGGGATATTTTTCTGATGGTGGAGCCATGCCCCCTCTGAACTCTGTATAACCAATAAAAGACTGTGTTAACATCAACACTTGAACATTTGTCAGTGGTCTTTCAGTATGCATGAAAAGCTTTTAAGACGTATTTATTATACACCGGGGTGTGTAGGGAGTTATGGAGGTGTGAATACCCTTTTTCAGGAAGCTAGAAAACATGATAAAAACCTGACCATGAAGCAAGTCAAGACGTGGCTGTCAGGTCAAGACGCTTATATGCTTCATAAGCCTGCAAGAATTAATTTTCCTAGAAATAAAACAGTAGTGTCTGGCTTAGATCATCAATGGCAGGCTGACCTCATAGATGTCTCCCAATTTTCTAAGGAGAACCATGGAAAAAAGTACATCTTAGCAGTTATCGATGTGTTATCTAAATATGCCTGGGCCTCCCCTTTATCTGATAAATCAGGGAGGGAAGTTACATCCGCCTTCCAGAATATCTTTCAAACAAGACGTGCACCCCGAAAAATACAGACAGATGCAGGTAAAGAGTTCTTGAATATTCCACTGAAGAAACTTTTAGCACATTATGGCATTCATCATTTTTTCACTCATAGTGAAACTAAAGCAGCCATTTAATAGAACCCTAAAAAACAAACTCTGGAGATATTTCACAGCTAGAAATACCCATCGGTATGTGGACATTTTGGCAGATACTATTCAGGGGTACAATAACACTTACTATCGTAGATCGGGACTGGTCCTAACACCGTAAATTTGTCTAACGAAAGGGACGTGTGGATGAGGCTTTATGGGGTAGCTTTAAAAAGGAAAAGAAAGGAAAAATGTCTTAAGATGGGAGACCATGTCAGGGTATCCAGACTGAAGGGTAAGTTTGAAAAGGGCTATCAGCAAACCTATACGGATGAGATATTCATCGTCAAAGAACTGCAGACAAGGGGGGAAAGAGTGGTGTATAGATTAAATGATTACACAGGTGACCCTGTAAAGGGGGCTTTTTACTTTGAGGAGCTCCAAAAGGTTCCTGCTGACCAACAGCACATATGCAGAATAGAGAAAATTATCCAAAAAAGAGGGTAGGGGAGACACAGAGAGTTTCTAGTCAAATGGACTGGATGGCCAGAGAAGTTCAACAGTTGGGTTAAGGAGACTGAAGTAGAACATCTTTGATATGGCAGAGTTTTACATCACCCTTCCCAGCAATGCATCAGCAGCAATTTTCCCCCAAACAGAAATTCTAATTTTACTATTCAATTAGCGAGATTGTTGGATCTTCCAGGGTCATGGGAAGTAGGGCTAGCAGAGATACAGTATCTGCATAGTTGGCACACTGGATATTTTGAAATTGCTAACGAGAGAAAGAGATGGCATTTTTCTTTGAGAAGCGAGTACTATAGCAGCATCCGACAACTGTTAGAAAATATGAACAAGCTTATATCAAATGCCAAGGATGGACCTAAGACAACCCTACAGTATGATTCAGTGGGTCGAAAAATTAACCTTAAAAGAGATGAACCGCATACCATTCTAGTTAGCGGAGAACTTGGACAGCTGTTAAGTATGTTCCCTGGATTCAGCACCTTATATGTTTACACAGACATTGTAGAGCTCCAGATAGTGGGTGACTTCTATGTGCCATTACTGCACTGTGTGCCTGTGTGAGAGCAAGACAATGATTTCATCACAATAACCTATGACTGTCCACATTATGTACCAGTCAGCAATAGTAAGCCAGAGCCTTCTTTAGTTTAAACACAGTACCTGCCTTAGCAGAGTGCCATTTCATGAATTCTTCTCTCTCCCCGGGCATCATGATTTCAGGGCTGTAATACTTGGTTTCAGGGAGTGGTCCCACATAGTCTTGATTGGCCATTATACTGAACAAGTGGGAGAAATATCCTTTGCTGCCTTGAAACCCCATAGCTTTGGGTAATTTGCTTAATTGAAGGGGCAAAAATGAGAGGCTATCAATAAACCGGATCTTATTATTTCTTCAGATAACATTTTATAATAGATTGCTGTTAATCCATCTGTACCAGGAGCCTTACCAACCTTTAACTGTTTGATTGCCCAAATAATTTCCTCAGAAGTAATTAAACAATTCACCTCATTTCGTTGATCATTTGAAAGTCTAGGAAAATATGCTGCCTGTAGATACTTATCTATATCTGAAGCTTGTATGCTTTCACTAGCATATAACTTTGAGTAAAAATCTAAAAAACTCCTTTTAATCAAATTTTATAATCTATTTTCTCTATAATCCTTGACTTCTGTTTCTTCCATAACTGATAAGCCAACCAGGCTTATTTGCGTTACAAAACGTGTTATGTTTCATATAAAGCAAGTTAATTGCGATCTGATCAGCCATTAACGTATTAAATTGCTCCTTAAGCATATTTATAGAAGCCTTTAACCTATTGTCCAATGGATTCAAAATAAAAGCCTTCTCTTTCAGTTTAATCTCTTCTTCCATTTTTGCATCTGTTTATGCCTATGCGCATTGTTCATATGAATCAGAACCCCTCTCATATAAGCTTTACTAGCATCCCAAACCATTGCCATCGAGGTACCCTTATACATATTCAAAAGAAAAAATTCCTTCAAATATTCTCTACATTTCTGTGAGATCCCCTCGTATCTAAATAAATTTTCATTCAGTCTCCAAGTCCTTCTATTCCCGTCTTCAACAGATAACTCCAACCACACAGGACTATGGTCCGACAATATTCTAGGGAAAATCTTGGCATTCTTGACCCTAGAAAAAAGATCAATGGTGATTAGAAAAAAGTCAATTCTGGAATACGATTGATGCCTGTCCGAAAAAAAAGTAAAATCGCTGTCCTCCATATTCCATTCTCACCAAATGTCTCTGAGTTCCAAATCATCCTTCAAATCAAAAAGGAACTTTTTAACAGTATTTTGTTGGGAGCAGAGGTACCTCCATCTTGGAGAAGGGCTTTTATATCGTTGATCCCAAAGGAGGATCAAGATCTTACCCAGGCTAAGAATTATAGACCTATACCTCTTTTGAACACAGATTATAAGATTTTTTCGAAAATATTAGCAAATAGATTAATGCATGTTTTGAAGCAATTGATCCATAGTGATCAATCTGGATTTATAACTGTGAGATATATGAAATATAATGTAAGACAAATTGTTAATATAATTGAATATTTGGACAAGAATAATCAAATCCCTGCGGCTTTGATATTTTTGGATGCTGAAAAAGCTTTTGATCAGTTAAATTGGCAATTTTTATTGAGAGTTGTAGAGAAAATGAATTTTGGGGATAAATTTTTATATGCTCTTAAGGCTATATATCAGTGTTTTCCAAATTTGACAATTTTAAGGCATGAGGACTTCAACTCCCAGAATTCCACAGCCAGCAATGCCTTAAAATTGTCAAGTTTGGGAAACACTGATATATATCAACAACAATCGGCACAAATTATAATTAATGGGGGATTAACAGAAGCATTTAAAATTGAAAAGGGTACAAGACAGGGATGTCCATTATCCCCATTGTTTTAACAATGGAGATTTTACTAATTAAAATTCGTGAATCAACTACAATAAAGGGAATAAAAATAAATAAGAATGATTATAGGTTGAGAGTTTTTGCTGATGATTTGGTTGTGACATTATCTCAACCGACACACTCGGTAAGGGATTTGGTGAAATCATAACCCAATATGGGAAAGTCTCTGGTTTTAAATAATAATAAGACTAAAATATTACTGAAAAATATGTCTATGAAGGAAAAGGATATGTTAGCTAAATTGACAAGTTTTGAAATAGTGAAAAAGGTTAAATATCTGGGAGTATACATTACACCTTCTAATGCTAAATTGTATAAAATAACTATGAGACACTATGGGTAAAAGTGCAAAAGGATTTAAATGATTGGAAAAAACTACAATTATCTTTGCTGGGGAGAATCTCGGTGGTTAAAATGAATATTCTTCCAAAGTTTCTTTTTTTGTTTCAAATGATACCTATTTTGAAAAAAGATGCCAATTTGAATGAATGGCAGAAGGGTATTAATAAATTTATTTGGGTGGGGAAAAAACCAAGAATTAAATTCAAGATTATACAAGATGTACGGGAAAGAGGAGGACTTAAGGCGCCTAATCTGAAATTATATTATGATGCGGTGGCTTTAACATTGACTAGTGATTGGCTTAATTTAACAAATAAAAATATACTTTCTCTTGAGGGATGGGATTTACTATATGGATGGCACGCATATCTAATTTATGATAAAAAAGTAGATCAGGTTTTTAAATCCCATATTTTAAGAAGTGCTTTATTGCATGTCTAGAAGAAGTATTATTATAGGTTAAATTATAAAATACCAATTTGGGGGATTCTTGGACATGCGATAGAGGGGGTATCTAGGGGTGTGAACTTGGATAGGATTTCTTATAA